GTTTAATGGATTCCATTTGTTTCCTATGTTGAGATTCCATCATGTTCCTCAGCTCCTCTCTAGATTTATTAATCATGTCTTGCACTAGGAGCACAATCTCTGCTGTTATCTGAGAAATTATTTCTGATTTCATTTTCTCCAGATCCTCTTTTGTTGCCAGTTCAGGGAGTCCAGGTGGTTGAGTATCAGAGTGTTTCACTTCATTTCCCTTTGGGGTTGCTGTAGGTGATCTGGAAGTCTGTTTTTGAGACTTGTTTACGTGTCTTCTCATTTCAACCTGGAGGGTGGGGTGCTGTTGTTATCTGTGCGGCTCACATCATCTGAGCTGGGAACCTTGGGACAGTGGCTCAGAAGCCCCTTCTTCTGGGCTGGGAGTGGTGGGCCACAGGGCAGCCTGGAAGCACCTTCCACTGGGCCAGGAGTGCCGGGACAATTGGTGGCCTGGAAGGCCCTTCCTCTGAGCTGGGTGTGGTGGGACAGCGGCTCAGAAGCCCCTTCTTCTGGGCCACTTAGTTTTATAATTAACAAGATTTTTTTTCCATTGTTAAAACACCATATATTAAACAATAATTTGTAATGCAGTCTAAAATATAAATGTTAGAGTATCAATGGAGCCTATCATTTCTGTGCATAAAAATCAATTTTCAGAATTTGTGTCATTTTATTTTAATTTAAAAATATATTCATTATGATGATTGTTCCAAAATTTGATTTATTCCTATCAGCTTTTTATCTTTAAAGATACTCACTTTTGCTTGTGATAAGTTGTCACTTTGAATGAAATATATTTAGCAAAAACTCTGTGTTCTGACACTCTTGAATGTTACTCTTGATCTTAACCTTCAGACAAACCTTGATCAAAGCATTACAAAAACCTTTCTCTTCAAATCTGTTAAGAGTTTCTTCCATATCCATCTGGAATGCTCAGTTCTCACAGTTTGGTGATTTATGCATCTATGTATGCATGTACATAAGTACATATGTATGCACTGAGACAGATTTTCACTATGTTTCCCAGCTGGTCTTAAATGTCTGGGTTTAAACAGTCCTCCTTCCCTGGCCACTGTCATAACTCAGTGTGCCTGGCTTAGGGTTACAACATTTGACTCCATAGAACATAATGATTTGCTTCTCTTTAATTTTGAACTTTCATCATTTTCCTCTTTGTTTCTTTGACCAGACCTTCCTTTTTGAGCTCCAAATGGTAGGGCACTACTGGGATCAATTCTCAGATATCTTTTTTTGTCACTATTCAGTGATCTCAGCCAGTATATGCATAAAAACTATTTATATACTGGTGATTCCTTGGAGTGATTGTTTAATTCCCAGTCTTTGTTTTTCTGTAAAACTACTTTGACAACTTCTTATAGAAATAAGAAGGTTGGGCTGGGAACATAGCTTGTTAATTAGAGCACTTGCCTACCATGCTTGAGGTCATGGGTTTGATCCTTAGTATCACACACATACACACAAACCCACAAAAACTAAATAAAGAACATTTATAAAACTTATTCAAAATGATGCTTAATTTTTCATCCCAAATCTACTTCTTTCTGAGTTCCACATTTCTGTGAATGACAGTGGCAATTTGAGCATTTTATTAGATTGAAAAATCTGGAATTATTATTGACTCTTCTCTTTTTCATAGCCCATATCAACTTTATTATCAAATCTTTTCATATCTTCATTCAAAGTTTAGTATCTTAAAAGGAACACTTCTCATAAAATCTACTGCTACTATCACTCTGTCTCAACTGCTTTTCTGACTCCTTCCCAAAGTCTTTCCTAAAGCCTGTTTTCTGCCTGCTAAACTGAAAAAGTTTTTAAAATTATGCCAGATATTGACAAGCTTTCCATATTTAAAATGTTTAAGGCTTCTCCTTATATTTAGTATAAAATCCATGGTTTTTGCCCTGGTTCACAAGACCACATATCCTTTGGTCTTTGTCCTGGTAATCTTTCCACCATCTTGCTACATCTTTCTGCACTCATTGCTCTCCCATTTCTTTCTCATTCAGTAATGATTTACTCAAATGTTCCAGTCTCAAAAAGGGGATCTTTTTAAACCTCTAAAATACTTTTAAATCTTTACCTTCTTGCTCTGTTTGATTTTTCTACACAGGTTTCATCATCAACTGAAATTATGTCACACACATTTTAGCAATTTTTTGATGTTAATGTCTTCCCTACTTCAATATAATCTTCAAAAAAGTGCCACCTTTATTTTGCTCATCATTTTATTCTTAGCATTTAGCTCAAAGTATGGTATTTTAGCAAGGTCTTCATAAATATTTGTTGAATTAGTGAATGAATGATTTGTATTTAGGGAGAGAAAGATTGTTCACATATTTAAATCTTACATGATCATGGTAGGGTATCATAGAAACATGTCAATACAGTGAGTCACAGTGGTTATGTGAATGACAACCTTTTAGGATAGGTTAAAAAAATGAAGGTAATTGCCTGTGTGAAGGAGCACCACTGAGAGAGATAGGTTGGATCCTCACTACCCTGTGCACCAGAATATACTTGTGACTTGCTAAAAGTACACACCAGACACTTGCCCCCAAGGGCTCTGATTCAGAGATCTACGGTGGATATATACTTAGGTAGTTATTTTTAAGCGGTTGGGCCTCTTAAAGCCAGAGCCTGAAATAGGGATTTGAGTGTATGAGATTTACTGGGAGAGTGCTTGCAGAAAAAATCTGTAAGGAAGAGAAAATGACACATGGGGAAGTTGAGCAAATGGGTAGTCCCCAGGTAATCTATCCTTGGCCTGACACACACAGCAAGGGCTCTGTATTGCAGCCCATACCCTAAAGTTGTTTCTCCTTAAAGCAAAAGACTAGGATTAGTCACTGGGGTTTGGCTGCTTCACTTTCCAGGCAAGGCAGGCCCTCAATGGAGGGCAATTCTCCAGAGGGGAAGCTGAAAATCATCATCATCCAACACCCACAGCACCCGGGGGACACTGCACTGGGCCAGAAAGGGACCTGGGCTAGTTGCCACAGTTATAGTCATACAAAAAAAAATGGGCTAATTGTGAAGCCCAGACATTCATTTTATTTATTTATTTTTGGAACCGAGGATCGAACTGGGGTCCTTGCGCTTGCGCAGCAGGCAGAGAAACCACTGACATAATCCCCGGCCCAACCAGACATTCATTCTTTCAACAAATATATACAGTGTCCTGTCCTGGGCTAAATACTTTTAGTTGCTGGGATTCAGTGATGAATAGACACAGTCCCTGCAGCATTCATAGGGAGAAACAGAAATTAATCAAATGTATATGCAATCATAATAAGGAACTACTGTGTTATCATGCCAAATAATGAATTAAAGCAAACTTGTAAAAATAAGCCCATAATATTATGCAAGCAGGTAACTTTTAAAAAAATAAATGGTTCTTGCAGTAACTCTGAGATTATGTAAATTATCACAGTACTTGTTAGCTAATGCTAGCTGTATGTTACTCAGTTATCAGGCATTATTTGAAAAGTAAAATAGAATTTAAAAAATTGTTTCAACACTGGCACCATATCTGTGCACAAGACCTTTACATACCATTATTTCAAAAACCAGTCAATTTCCTCTTTATAGAAGCAGAGTAAGAATTAAAAATTTTAAATGCAACTGGTCAGATGCCAGTTCCCTTTTGTCTTTTCAAATTACTCTCTTCATTCCTATCCCAGTCTGGCAAGAAAAGCAAAAGTAAAACCTGTATGAGAAGCGGTGATCTTGCTATGGTTGAATATTCAAATTTGCAGACTTCCCATAATCCTCTAGTCCTGGTGGAGGCTACAACTTTTTGGAAGTCACTGAACTGATATGCAATGTTCACCGCTATAAAACTGGCATTATTGTGTATAAAATAGCAATATTTAATTATTAAAAAAGACACTTGAACAAATACATACAGATCACTAGGTTCTAAACAAAGTTTGAGAATTCAATAATAATATAGAACATCTGAGATAAGTCCAAAGAAATTAAGAAAAATTTTGTTTTTATATATTTCATTATTAGACATGAGAACATTTAAATCACTAATAAATTAGTGCATAACAGTAAATATCTACCTGAAATTCCTGATTTTATCTAGTACTCTATTTTCATCTCTTTTGTTGTATCTTTGAATACTGATATGGCAACTACTACACTGAAAAATAAGTCAGCTAATGAGGAACATGGCACTTGTCGGTAAAATAGTGTTTCTTACTTTAACACAGAGAAGAATTTCAAAGGAATATAATTCTGTCGAAGTGTCACCAAACCATTTCTTTAGGAGGATGTAGCACCAGCAGAAATAACAAGGCTTATTTTCAGTAATTCTGTTCATACCTCAAATCCCTGTGGTCTTCCTAGACTCTCTTTAATATGTTTCCATGCAACAAGAATCTCTGACACAGACACACTTGTAGCCTTGACATCAGTAGGAGCAGCACTGGGTTCTGTAGGAAAGAAAGTAGAAATAATAAGCCATGAATGTAATAAGTATGTCTATCAAATTAGTGCACCCACACTCATGTGATGTTCACTGCTTTCTACCTTACTTTTGCAATGAACTGCTCTAGCAGTTATGAAAAACACAAGACAAAAAGATGATCTTGTTGGATTTCTACATTTAGGTTAAGTCTCTTCAATACCTGACCAATACAGTGACAAATTACAAATCTGGCAAAATAAGCAGAGATCTTTATCCTTGGATTAGCTATGACAGTTCTAAGTTAAAAGGTCTGATTCAAGTTGTCTACCAATCTGCCATAATGTTGAAGAGAATGGACTACGGAGTCAGGATTGGCTTTTTTCCTGTTGTTGTTGCTGCTACTGTTAATTTTTACCTTTAAAAATTATTTGTGATTATATAATACATACATGTATGAAAACATCACATCCCATTAATGTACAATTTTTGTGTTTTTTACGTCTCAGCTATACTATAAATCTAATAAATAATACTTTTAAATTTACCTTTAGGTAAATTTTTACCTCCTTCTATTCCCTAATTTTATCTTCTGTAATATGTGCCTAATAAGAGTATTATCTCATAGACTTTAAGACTAGTTTTAATTATCATAAGACATGTAAAATATTTAGTGCTATGGTTGGCACTTAAAATGACCATTCCCAAATATATATTAATTATGGAGGAACAAACAATATAAGAGACATTAGATATTTTTTGATGTTCTGACCACAAAACTACATTTCTCTGATTATATAAGAAATGTGTTATGAATCATGATATTCAAGGCATGTGTTGACTTTTAAGACAGGTGTGAGCTGAATAGAAAAGTCTCTGAAGACCTTAGTGGTGTTGCTCAAAACACCACTTTTCATTTGTTTCTATGTTTAGTGACCTTTCACACTAGTTTTTTTAAGTGCACCATGTCTGATTGGCATCTGTCAAGAGGGGCCTTTTATTTTAGGTTGTGTGGTCTGTGAGCAACAAAATATTTCTAGTTTTGACACAAGTGAATCATAAATACTGTCACAAATACATGTTAAATGAAATGGCAGAGTAAAAGCTATATATTAAGTCAAGCAGTTCTGTATAAACTATTTAAAAAATCATACCCCATAATAATTGTAGAGATTTTGATGCCCTATATCACTGGTAAGAATTCAGATTAATGTATTAAATTTTTTAAAATTTTTTTCAGTTTCAGGACACCAACCATATAGCAAAGATAGGGTTCTAAATAAGATTCTTGAAAGGTATTAAGGCAGGTATTGAAAGAATTATAACCTTTTCTGAGATCTTTCCTTTTCTAATAGAAGGTAGTCATACATCTACCTAATACTTTTTATATTATTAATTGAAAATATTAGTCAAAAATATCTATTCATTAATGGAGAAGAAGCCTACAGAAGATATTTTCACAGGTATATATTTGCACCAAGCAGTGCTTTTCTTTTGGTAAAGCTTTCATTAAAATCATATGACATAATTATGTCACCAGTGATTCTGTAAATTCACATTAATCTTTCACAGAAGCTGACATCAATTCCTGTCATGGTATAAATTGTAGATTCTTGTCCTGTCACCCTTTGAATATTTTTTATTATTTTCTTTTCTGTGGTTTCACTAATTCCACTTTCCAACTCCCCAGTAGTTATCTACTCATTGTTTTTAAAAGTGTATTCTGGGGAGAGCTTCTAGTTCTATTTCATTCTAGAATTTTGATTAGCATACTTGCAACACAATTATTTTCATTATTGTTTAATAGTGAAGATTTTTGGTTTTGCAATTAAATGAAAGGAAATGCTGATGTTTTTGAGGTGTGTACAATTTGATCTCTAGGATTTAGGATATGATTTATTTCTAAGGGAACCACACTTTGCATATCATTTGCTATTCAGTTGCAGTTTTGCTTCTCTTTAAAATAAATGTGTTTGTAGAGATTTGTGTGCCAAGTGCCTTCTTTCAGCTTTTATATTACTGAAGCAATCACATCTTTGTCAAAGAAGATTGCAGGGGGATAAATAATTTCAGAAGCACAAAACATGTGGTTGGGTGGCAGCTTTTCTATCCTTTATCTTTAAAGAAAAAATTACTTTTCTATTAGCTTTCAGGGGTACTACACAAGTTTAAATACCTCTCAAATAGAAAGTGAGAAAAAAAAACCCAGAAAACAAAGTAAAAGAAAAAGAAAAATGTTCAGAACCTACTTCCAAGCCAGGTGTCTTAATTTCTATTTAAAAGATATGAATATTTAAAATCAGGTCACCTGACATTTCACAGTTGCATTCTTGGGGTTTGCACATTATAGTTCCATGAAATTGAATGAAGGTGAATGAATCTTGCAAGAAGTACTTTGTTTCACTTTTTTTGATCTAAATATTATCAGAAGTAGACCCATGCTGACCTCAATTGGAAATTTCAGCATGGAAAAAAAAAATGATCTCAATTAGTTTCTTCCAGAAATTCTCTTATATCCTGCTTGATAGCTGAATGAATAAAAAGTTTGCCTTCATACAAGAATAACCGGATCACAGAAAGCCTGGGCTGGAACTCCCTGTTCTGTTTGGAAACCCAGTGTAGCTGAATAATGGACAGTGGCAACCAGAAAGGGTTTTAAAAAATCACTTGGGTCAAAAGTCACGAATGCATGGCCAGTGGATCTTTGGTCATTTTATTTGTCTGTTTAATGTGTTCAAATAAATTAAGCCAATAGTTGAGTTGTAATCTTTTATGTGAATATAAGAATTTATAACTTTGAAATAAAAAGAGGAAACAAACCTGAATTCTTGGGAGTAGGGCATTGAGAATTAGCAGATTACTCCCTCAGGGCATGTGCTGCTCACTTTGCTGGAGCCCCGACTGGTCCCCATTGTCTCCCATAGGGAGTACCTGGGTGTTTATATTTCTTAACTGACATTGGAGATCTTTGAATTATAAAACTATGTTTTAAACTTAAGCTATGTTTTAAATTTTGTGCCAAGTAAGCAACTGACTTGTTCTCAATCTCTTAGAGTCAATTTTGCAGTGTAGAGAAGATAGATTACTAGAAATGTACATAGTTTAATCTTTTTTCATTAATTTTATTGGTACATTTAAGGTATACAATATAATGACATTCATCATTGGAAATTTGCACCTTTACATAATCCACTTGGTTCTTATTTTTTCCGCATTCCCCTGCCCTCCCTTCAACCCCTCCCACCCTCCCTTATCTACAAAGACTTTGTTTCCATGTTTTGTTTTTCTCATATTAATTCCATTCCCTTCTTTCTTTTCCCCTACCCTCCCACTGCCCCCTACCCCTTTCCCCTTTTCTTCCTATTTCACATTATCTATTATATCTTTTAGTCCTTATTTACACTTTCAATTTCTCACACTAGAGAAACTCTTCGGTATTTACACATGTGTGTCCTATTTATTTCACTTAAGAGTATTGGCTCAATATGCATCCATCTTTTGTTTTTTAGTTTAGTTTGTTTGTTTTTGAGACAGGGTCTTGCTGTGTAGTCCAGGCTGGTCTTGAACTAACTATGTATGGAGTCCAGGCTGGCCTCGAACTTGTGGCAATCTTCCTGCTTCAGCCTCCAAAGTGCTTATAGTTCATTCTTTTGCTACCCAAATACCTCCTAATAACTGACAAAGCAACAAATAAAATATGATTAGAAACAAAACAGATGAGGGGAAGAGCTCAAAGTGATAATAAGTATCAGGTTGTGAAGATTTGCTGTGTTCCAAGCCCATTTAATTCTTTACATATACTAACACATCCAACAACTCTATTATTACTTTCATTACTTTTCACATGAGAAAATTGAGGAACAGAAGTTAAGCAACCTAAGATCACATACTGCCAAGTGGTAGAGGGATTGATTTGAACACAGGCAACAAGGCTGTAGCCACCCCACTTCCGTGCTTCTGGGTGTGTCATGCTGTGCACATTCGATTGCTTTTTGTTCCTCACCTCTCCACTTCTAAATCCTCTCAATAATTTTCATGTTGAATTTCCCCTGATTGAGCTTTCTGCTTCTAGGTCTTGCCAGAAATTAGCCCAATTTCATCCTCCTGTAACCTTGCCACAAGTTCACTATCAACTCCCTTTATTGTTAGTTCATGAACTTTTTTCTAAGTTTGAACCACATCTGTGCTGTTCCTCATACAGCATGTCACATTTGGGGAGTTCTAAAACTCTCCTGAACTTTAAATCACATGATGTTTTCTGTCACTCTTATCTATTACACTCAGGTAATTTGATGAAAATTCAGGAACTTATGCCTGAGATTAAACTGGTTTTATGTCTAGTAGACTCAAAGACTTAAAAGGATCTACTTCTCTCGCTTATGATAATATTAAGGAGGCTGCACTCTTTTACTTCAATCTAGGGATATGAAGTGGACATGCTTATTGATAGATTTCAGGATCTGTTAGATTAAAAAATTTGAACAGTATTACCATGCTCATAAATTTATATGATACATTTGTTTCAAGTGACCTAGTAGCCAGAGTTCTCCAAGTAATATGGGGGCATGTACTTATAATATTGATCTTATATCTGACTCTCAAGAGGGGTGAGCAACAGCATTAATCACAGGAGAATTTAATAAACTCACAGGAGAAGGTTATGATTTCATTATTTAAAAATTCAGCGAAGACAGCTGTAGTTGAACTTTTAAGGAACTAATCCAAATAGATCATATGGCAAAGATAGGAAATTATTCCTTTTATTTTATAACTAATATGCCAATTTATTAATTTCCAAGTTCACGTAAATCCCACTGAGCTCACTTTCAGCTAAGAACTCTTCTGGAGAATAATGCCTTACGAATGTTAGGTTTTAATTTGAAATGTGGTAGCTCTGTTTGCAAGGAGATAATTGCATATCATTTTCTTTAAATGAAGAGAGGCTTTTAAGATTTAATAAAAATAAAAGCAGCACACATTTTCAATATAAGACAAAAGCCAAAAAAACAAAACAAAAAAACCCCACTATGCTGAAAAGGCTAAAGTACGTCACAAATAAATCTTTCAACCCAATGGATATCAAAAGTATATCGAATTTCTGTTTTTCTGTTAGATATAATTGAATGCTCTGGTTCTTCTAATCCAAAATTATAGTAATAACCACAGGGAAAATGTATATAAGTTTAACTATTAAATATTTCTAGAGATGTGAAAGTGAACCACTAATTTGGCTTTTCATCTTGGAAATTTTAAAATCAATTTTACCATTTCTTTTAAAATCATTTGTGTTGAAACTTTATTAGTGTTTAAAAAAATGGAATTGCTTAAAAATGAGGGTATTGCTCACGGCTTTACTATGCCCTAAAGATCTGTAGTTTAATCAAGGTTAGGAATGCACATAGTTCTTTCTTTCTTTCATGGTTTAACATGAATAGATATGTGACAGATATATAGGGTGCATGGAAATGCTGGTAGGCAAATGTCTCTCCTCCCAGGCTTATGTCAGATGTTACTTGGCACTGATAGAGCATTTAAGGGTTAATTTTGTTGTGGAAATATTGAAAGGATTCAAATATTCAAGAGTGTTAGCAAAAGAATCACTTGCAACAATTTTTGATAGTACTCTAGGGTCATAGTCAACATTAGAAATGTGAAAGTCAAGGTCATATTCAGAGTGACTTGCCAGTATCAATATTTGTAAGTGATCATTATTTTTGGTAACAGGTTGACTCAAGGTTCTCCTTATAATAACAACTTGTATTCTAGTAGGCTTTTGTGAAAGGACAAGATGAAGGGTATGAATGAATGCTCAAAAGCACCTATGGAAGGATATTCTGGATGGGAATATCATACATCGTTAATGTTCCAGTGGGGAAGAGCTTGAGAAGTAGTCCTGTAAGGTATGCCTGTATGTCTTTGTAGCACAAATTCTGGTAGCTGGATGTTAACACCTTTCCCCCTCCAGCTATGTCAGCTGTGAAAAGATGGCTTTTTCATGGTGATCTAGGCATAAAGCTAGTGCTCTTCATATGAAGAAAAAGTAAGCCTCTAAATAGAAATGCAGTCTCACGGATTTGTTCTTTACTGTATCTAAGGATGTGGAGGGATTTGGAAGTGATAACAAAGTGGATTGGAATAAAGAAGCAGAATTTGTCTTAAGAAGAAATGCAATCTAAGTCAGATGTGTGGGGCTTGAGCCAAAAATATAATGATAAAAACACAAAGAATTTTTATAAATAGAAATAGAGTAGAAGGAGCCTGCATCAGCAGAAATAACTAAAACCTGTTGTTTTATGAATTTATTACAGGTCTTAACTCTTAAAAACTGGTTCAATCTTTGAAATGGTCACTCATTTTCAATTAAGGCAGTTTTCCAAGTGAATATAAATGTTAATTTGTCCGGTTTTATTGTATAGCAAAAGCTAATTTACTATCACTACTTATTTGGGACAACTGTTCAAAAGAATATTTTTGAACATAGAATAAATTGACAGAATTTTACTTTGAGATTTGTGAAGGCTTCCAGAGATGTTCTAGTCAAAAACTTTATTATTAAAATATGGCAACATAGAGTCCCAAATAAATATACTTCCCCAAATCATGTGACCATATTTCAATTTAGACTGTGCTGACTCCAGGCAAAAGCACTTCTTTTCCCTGCCCTGCTTTTTTTTTTTTTTTTTGGTTGAAACAAAATGATGCCAACATTGTACTCATATTTACACATAAATTTATAAATTTAATTAGTGAGAAAATGCCAAGAGTACATTTGCATTCTATTGTCTGAACGAAAGCAGGCTTTTTCCAGTCTTAATCTGTCTGGTATCTTTCATACTTTAGTCTACAAATAAATGAAGTGTTATCATGAAATATGTTACAGCAACAGCCTCAGAGTTTTTGAAAGAAAATATGCATATTTCCTTTTTAGCTTGAAAGAGAAATCTCTACAGGCAATCCATGTCAAGTTTAATGGAACATAGTATTTAAACAAGGGTAGCTGCAATAATTTAATTTCAAAGCAAAGACTGACAAGAAGCTTACAGAGCTGAATTTCTTAGAGGCTGCACTGGAGTTACCATACAAAGCATGTGCACAAACTCCTGCAGCTCACCTCATGTGACCTTTGGGGCTATGTGCTTGATAATTGAGTTGGAACAATTTTAAAGTAACAAGAATATGCACTTCCTGAATAAAACATGTACTTCAAAATAGATCTTTGGAGTAATAAATAATAGAAAATATCATTATTATGTACATCCCTGGGGAGATTGTATAGGGGTTAAAGCTTGTGGTTCAGAATCAGATAGCCCCGGTGAAAATCCCACCTGTGTCACTTACTGTTGTTATATTACAATTCTGTCACTGGTGTGAATTTGGATATGTTACTTACCCTCACCGAGGCTCAGTTGCCTGAAAAGAAGATTTTAACTTGATATTGAGTTCTTACATGTACTTGGTTTTATGTGTTAAATTATAAAATAAGTAATTAGCACATAGACTATATCTGAAAACACAGCAGAACCCGAGATGCTGAATGCATGGAATACCCATGATCCCTTTCTGTTACTTGGTTCTTCATTTTCCTGGCCATTCTTCAATGAGGATCAGTTGTTTTGCTTTTGCTTCAAACTTTGGTTCTATGTTTTAAAAATGCAAGTCAGCTTTTACTGAAAAACTACGTCTTTACATAAATCAATTACTGTATTTATTTTTCTATATTCAAATGACCTCATATATTACTTTCTACAAAGCTCAGATCTCCTAGAATATTAGTAATTCCTTTGAGTTATTGAGGACACACGCATGGGCATGAAACAAGTAAAAGAGTCAGTTTATGATGACCACACTAATCTAAAAGGTTAAATGAGGAGCCAGGGATTTAGCTCAGTGGTTCTGCTGCCTGCTTCGCAAGCACAAGGTCTCAAGTTTGATCACTGGTACCAAAAAAAAAAAAAAGTCAAATGAGTGCTGCCTTTTGTGTAAAAAAAACCCCACAAAAAACAAAAAAATATTTTCTTATTTATTTGTCAATTTAGGTCATATGAAGCAAACAAGAAATAATTTTTAATTGGCAGGGACAATTGAAATTCTGGACCTCAATAAAAGAATCTCGAGTAAAAGCTAACTTATGGAGGTTAGATTAACCATGTTTTCTTTACTTAGAAAACTTGAAAGAAAGCAGGATTTTGACATTGGGATGTGGGTTCAGAGTTTAGCTCCACTACTGGCTGAATCTAAGCATGAGTAGTCAGTTTTACAGTTTACTCACCAGCAAAATGATTATATTGTCTACTAGGTACTGCTCACTTAGTTGTTTCTTAAAAATTAAATGGGCCCACTTGTATGATGGCAGCATGCTTTGAAAAATTAGGGATTTAATGATTAGAGAGATGTGAATTTAATTCTCAGTTACAAGCTGTGTAATCTTTAGGAAGTTTTTGAACTTTTCTGAGGTACAATTTCTCTTTCTACTCAATGCCTATTACACAAAATTATCAGGAGGATTTCATGATGTGAAAAACATCTGTCAGAAAGCCCTGCCTGATACATCTTTATTAATACAGTGGTTTGTGAATTAGAGTTGGAAAGAAATGTTCATTGTTCATATAGTCTTTACTTAGATTTATTTTATGTACATATTTAAATTTCTAACAAAAAAGTTTGGTTAAATAGCTTCTAGATAATGGAATACAACACAGGGATTACTGGATTACTAGTCTTATTATTATGGAAAGATATTTGCCATATATTGTTAGGAAATGAAGAACATAAAGCAATGTATGTAGACATTTGTTTCTATTAACAAATTTCAAAAATCTTTTAGAAATATATATCTAAAAACTGTAGTATTATAAATTTTATTCTATCTTGGCTTATTGATTTTCTAATATAAGAATGAAATTTCTCATTATTCAAATAACAAAATAAGATATTACCATATTGAATCAAAAAGAGAGATAAAGGAACTGACCTCCTTCAGCTGAACAGATGACCACAATTTGACTGAAAGGTCCATCCCCTTTATTGTTATAAACGCCAACCTTCACTTCAAAGGGAGTCAGCGGAGGGACACTTTCATCTCGATAGATGAATTTGGAAGCTTCAGAGGATGTCACCATTTTTTCCTTCCAGCCTCGTGTTCCATTGGGTCTGAAAGCCACAATATAGCCAAAACCTTCCCCATTCTGAAACTCTTCAGATACTGGCTAAAGAAGAAAAAGACAATTAATTATCAGCAATATGACTAAGACAAAACTACACTTCCTCCAAATTCTAAGTTTTTAAAGATGGAGAGCTGGAGAAAAAGCAACTCAAACCTAATAGTACGGTGGAAACTAAGATAGCAAAGTACTTTGGAAATTTTGGGAAACTTAAAAACCTTTAGAAGTTAAAAATGAAAAATTGTATCAGTTAGTATGTAAGAAAATTCACAAGAGTATAGAAAACTCTTGAAGTGAAACACATTTCCTCAATTAGTCATGTATATGAAATGAAGACCTTAGATTCCACACTAGAATTTAATACATTGAGAAAACTGTCATGTGGTCTGGTGGTTGGGAATGTCTCGTCAGTGGCAATGCTCAGCAGAGCACTCTGCACAACACATCTAAAATAGATTAATGTAAGACCTTTCTTCTAGCATTCTTTCAATTGCACCTGTGTAGTAATAACATGCAAAACAACTGGACTGTGGGACATTTCTAAGGAAATTTTTGTGCCATATGTATATGGCTTATACTTAAATTTATTAAATAGGTTTCAACTGCCTGTCATAGAAAGGAATAATTGTGATTGACTAGTGAGTGGAGCAAAGATACGAGACGCTGCCTAGCACAGTGCTTAACACGTAGTAGATATTTGTTAGGATTTTTCTTTTGAATTTTCTTTTTGAATTTTGAACAACTATGCATTGAGTGAAAGAAGGAGAACAAAACCTATTATATCAAAGCTCATTGGGAATGAGCTCTAGGGAAGGGCAATTCCATTTACAGAGATAAGATCTCAGTGAAGATCAGATATTGGGAAGTTAATATGGCTGCAGAAATCAAAAGGAGGACATGAAATTTCATTAAGAGGAATGAGTAGAAGAATAGGACAGATGATATGCTCATGGAAGATTTCTTGTTGCAAAAAGATGTTTTACTTCACACTTTATTGTGATTTGTAAAGTTAGGAAGTTGTTTTATTTCTCCAGCAGACATTGTTTACATCCATGTCTGTTGATTCTAAGGCTTAGTTCTGTGAGCTACATCGTTACACTTAATAGTAAGTTATTTTTTCCTGTGCTGGAGTTGGAACCCAGGGCCTAATCTATGCTAGGCTGAGGCTCTACAGTGATCTGTATCTCCAGGCCCAATAATAAAGGGAAAGTGGCTTCATGGAAAAGTCAAGTGTCTTTGTGGAAAGTAAATATACTCCTTAAACATCTACCACTCCCACTGCTTTTCTTTGACAAGATATTTTCGAGGCCACAAAATATGGTAGATGAAAGAATCCAAATTTTGTACATTAAGGAAATACTTAAACTTTTCTTCAGTTTCAAAGTTTGTAAAATGATGAAAATCTTCCCTAGTAGAAGGATTCTTGAATGGATTAAATAAGATAAGCTAGGCTCTGTGCTACATATCCAGTGGTGGTGAATTCCTTTCTCCCCAGTGGTTTTCAAATAAGTCAAAGTAACTACTTAATTATAAAATAATTAAATATCAAACTGAGCCAAACAGACACTTGAAGTAATTTGCAAGAGGACATGCTTTAATTATTCAAGCTTTGGTTTGAGACAGCCAATATGACAGGAAAGCATACTTTACACTTGGCCAAAATAGCACCTGTTTTCCTTGTATGAAGATGAGACTCATATTATCAAGCAATGCATGTTCAAAGTGTTTTACTTCAGTTAAACAAGAATTTACTAAAGCTGTCTGTAACAGGGTAAAGATATTCTTAAGTGTTGCCTTAGTTTAAGGAAATCACCAGTTTTGATAAATGTAAAGGCTTTTGTACCTCCCAGGCAATGACCAACTCGTGTCTTCTTCCACTTCTTCCACTTACATTGGTAGGTGCTATCTTTGGAACTGTGGACAAAAATGGATTGAGAGTGAGGAAAATGAACAGATGTGTAATTTCCTTACAATATGGACAAATCATGACCCTAAGGAAATTAGGCAAAATTCTGAAATAAATAAGTCAAACATTGGTTTGAAGATAGAATGGTCAAATACCAAATCAAAATATTTGTGATAGAATGCTTTCAAATCTTTGTAGGATGTTTTGATATATATGTTTGATATATATTTTATTTGGCACATAGTATATCCCTAAATTAATTTTCAGTTAAATACTTGTTAGCGATATCTAAATCATAAGTAACAATAAAACTAAGGATATCTACTAGTGGTTAGGCAAATTTCATCCTTTACATGACTTTTTCCTCTTTACAAATGGTGTAACTATTTTTTTTGTCACCTCAGGTCTTACAAGAATCCTTGCAAAATGCACAGGTTGATTCCATTACTGTATTACCACAATCCCCAGGAAACTCCAGTTTAAAGAAACTTCAACAATGCCACAGAGTGAAAATCTACTTAAATGAATAAATATTTTAAGAAATCTGTCAATCAATCGCTCTGCACACTGCAAAATATATAGGCACTCAGAGAAACTTTTTCAAGTGAATAACTGTTAAAAGAATAAATGTGTTAAAGGAATAAATTTCCCCTTCACTGCACTACACCAAAGAATCTGCAGTTGAATGGGAACATTTTCAAATGAAGAACCATTAAATGAAGAAAACTATTAAAAGAAATCATTTTCCAGGCTATGAGCCTGCATTACCAATTTTACACTTTAGTATTGCCTTTCTATCCTAGCATATATTTCTTAAATTATATTGATATACTCATAAACAATAAATTCACTCCTGTATATTTCATACTTGGATGAAAAGCTATTAATTACTGGTAGATAGTTGCACAGAATTTTATACACGAGAAAAAACTGAAGTGGAGTTTGTATATTACTAGAAAGGAAATATAAAAATGAATTCTCTTTGGGCCCAGGAGGTAGGGGAGAAAAGCCTATGAGTATATAATTCGCTCTACGAAAATAAATAACCCATATTCTCTGGGGTCCAAATTACAATAGGTTACTTCTCTCCACAAACAATATTCTTTTCTTGCTCAGCTACATGTAGCAACTGCCATTATGGGATTATACAGCAGCAAAATATATATACAGAAGTAGTTATTTACCCAATTTTTTCTCATAGTTGCAAATAAACTAAAGATTATATTTATGGGCTTCGGTCTCATGGATTCCCTAAAAGTTACAGGGAATTAGATAACCTTTACTCTCATAGAAGAAATCAGATGGAATTCAACTGAAAACATGATGGCATTACAGCAATGACTGAGAATATGTCCTAATTTAGAACTTAATATTCTCTCCTTTGAGCATATCGTTCTTAAGGTCATGGATTTCTGTGGAAAGACTAGGCACTGAAGATCTTTTTTCTATTTTAGTCCTCAAACATCACCTACAAAGATGATGTTCAAAGCCTCTAGACTGGAGTTATAGAATGGGCTGTGGACGCTCTAGTAGACATCTCTTGAAGTCTGTTGAAAAGACACTAGTAGAACAAAATACAAAGAATTGCAGTATTTAAAATCCAAACTTTTCAAACCTGGGTAGTATTTTTCCACAGTCCATTAATACTTTCACTTTTTAGAAAATATATTTAATTTTTTTAGTAAAAAGTTAAAAAGAAACTAGTGAACATTTAGTGAATATTTCTATTTTGATGAGATAATAAAGCAAAGTGTTCTCTGATTTGATTCATTTCTATGTGGATAACTTCCAGGTTATATTATCCATAAATGACCTAAGTTTTGCATAATTTCTTTTAGTGTTTCAAATAATCAAGATGTTGATTTCTTTTAAAGTTAAGATAGTCTACAGTCAAAGTAAAGAAGTAAGATCTGCTTTTTCTCATACTGCCTCCAATTTTAATGAGCCATTAATGATAAAAGAAAAGGCGTTATGGCTCATTTTGTCTTAATATATGTGTATAAGCAAAACTATGTTTAAATTTTTTAAAAAGCTTACTAGATATAATAGATATAATAGAAACTACTAATAGAAAACCTAAGGATTTAATAGCTGCTATTCAGGCATTATGTTTTGTTGTGAGGATCATAATGTTTGGGTACTCTATTTCTAATTGGGTTAAATTTCATAATTATATGCAGATGATCCATGGAACCCATGTTCTTTTATTTTTCAACTTTGTGGCACACTCTCTGCAGTCAATACTATGGAGTCCACTGATTTTAATTATATCCATTAACTTATAAAAACATTTATTATATGAAAGGATTTGACTTAATCCTTCAGAGCCCTTCTGGTGTAAAAGTTCTATCATCCTTATTAGAAACATAAAATGAATATAATTAAATATTTAGTAAATGCTTTCACTGAGTTTAGAAAAGTACATATTTTCTTAAAAACCAAATATATATTCGATATATTTACTAAGAACTTGATTTAGAATTAAGCACTGAGGTCGTTTTCTCCCTCAGTCAGCTATTGATAAATGTCACGGGCACATTAGCTAGCAGAATCAAGTTTACATGCATGGTTAGCCAGTTAAAGTCTGATTCTCCTTATTTCTGGGCATTGATCTTCCATGAACAGATAATGTAACTGATACATTGCATATAAGCTATAAATGTTTAACTGTTCTAGGTTTTATCTAGCATGTTGAAATAGAGACCATTTTATCTTTTCATTTTGGACACTAGAAATATCTTAAAGCACTCAGTGACCAAGATATGGTGTACTGCCTTAGTTTTAACATACTAAATATAGAGGAACTCTTGGCAAGTATAATACTTTGAACAAAAAGTGAGTCAAACTAATAACATTGCTTAATAACTAAACAAAATAAAAAAGATTAAATCATTTACCAATATCTTTTTCCCCTGAAAAATATTCAATTTACCTTACAGTAAGTGTTTATATCGCTCATCAAATACATCTTTATTAGAGACCTGGGAGAGGACATGTAATTTAGGAGCTTAAAAGTCATCCAGTGACTGATTTGAATGGAACGATAATAGAGGTTATTTATACAGAAAAGGTGGAGTACGAGAGAAATATGTTTTAAAAAGTTTTTTTCTACCAGAATTGAAGCATACAGGATACGAATATTTCCACTGATTGATTATTATTCATTCTTAGCTTATAGAAAGAATAAAATTTAAAGTTTCCAGAAAATAGAGACAAAGAAATACTGACATTGTTTCCTGAACAGTTACAATAATGCTTTTGTTCTTGTCAACAGGATAGGTAAGGTAGTGTGAACAAACAGTAAAAAGGTACTTGTGGGAGAAGAAATGATCTGGGCTTGAATCCTAGATTCACCAATTTGTCATCCTAGTTGTTTTATGAAAAGGATTATATCTACTTTTAAAGACTTTTTTTTCATAATTGTAATACTACAGTGGTACCCTCAGTTCATGAACTTAATTTTAATTTGTTCCACAATTCTGGAAGAGATGGCAATGTTCACATTTATGTGGGAAAGGTGACTGTAGTCACGTTTCTCACCCAATGCAGAGTTCACAAACAAAAAATCATGCCAAACATTTCTGTTTGCAAACCTAATTGTTCGCAAACAAAAAGAGTTCATGAACCATTGTCCTTAGAATTGTTAATCATTGTAATAAAATGATTCAGTATAGGGCTGGGGATTTAGCTCAGTGGCACCTTGCCTTGCAAGAACAAAGTCCCAAGTTCCATCCCTGTACTGGAAAAAAAATGAGCTAAAATGATTCAGTATCATTACCTAAATTTTCAAAAGAGAAAGTGGTGAACTATGGTAAACACCTAAAGTTCATTATGACTCTAAACACATGTCTCCTCAGAATAGAACCCCCTTCTTGGATATTTGGAGGATACTGTTTTGGTGGTACTATGGGAATTAAGGCTTCATTTTTGGCACAGCTTGTTTTAATTTGGAAACAAAGGGGAGTATACATTTTTCAATCTGCTAAAGAAATATCTAGTATATTTTAGGAAATGTAGAATGTATGTGATTTTTGAACCTTCTTATAAATATTGGTAATCAAGGACATAGGGGGTGACTATATATAGTAAATTTAGGTATTAATCTCAATTTATATTCTTAACTTTATTTATAGTGGTTCACAAAAAAAGTAAAAAGAGAGGATGGGGTAATCTTTGATATTTGCTGATGCATGTGGTAAAAATGAAATGGCAAGAGGAGTAAGAGAGGAAGTGAGGAGAGAAGATTGCAGCTCAGGAGAGCTTGCAATGAAGTGTTTCAAGCCCTGAAAGAAAACAACTTCCAACCCAGACTGATCTAGCCAACAGAATTATCTTTCAAAATTGATGAGGTCTTTTCACAAGAAAAAGCACCTTAAAAAAATTCATGACCACAAAATCAGCATTCCAAAAATACCTCAAAGACACCCAAATTATAAATACAGAGCAAACTAAAAGATAGATAAACGATAAATAATAGGGAGATAGATCTTTCTCAAACGGGAAGGGGATCAAGGGATGAAAGGGAGAGGGCGAGGAGAAATAGGGGATGAAAAAGATTAAGGTGTGTTATGTACATGTGTCAACTGCACACAAGGAATGTAAACATGTATTGCAAACATATTGTAATAAAAAGAAAAAAAGGGAAATATATGTAGAAAAAGAGAATTAAAACAACAATGCCATAAACTCTAATAGAATGAATACACCAGGCAGGCTGAGCAGATGAGCAGAAGGAAAAAATAAAAGGTTTGCGTGTGTGTGTGTGTGTGTGTGTGTGTGTGTGTGTGTGTGTGGGGTCAGGAATGGGAAAATAATGCAGTGACAGAAATAAGACAAGACCATTCAATAAGAACTCTAAATGTGAATGGTCTCAATCAATCAAAAGACAGATTAGTAGAATGGATCAAGAAATAAAATCTAATGATATGCTGCACAGAAGAAATACATTAATCCTAAAAGAAATTCATAGACTAAAAACCAAAGGGTGCAAAACAATATTCCTTGTAAC